CCCCGCCACGCCCCGCCCCACCCCGCCGCGCTCAGCAACGGCACGCTGCTACGGTCACTAAATGCCGTATTATTGTAAGCGAGGGGAGACAATGGGGCACCTGGGGGACTCCGGTCGCCGACTACCGGGCCAGGACAGAAATGGAAAAGAGAGAAAGAGAGAGAGAGGGAGTCGAGTGAGAGGGAGAAAAGGGATGAAAAAGATGGTGAGAGGTGGGAGAGGGGGGCGCTTAGGATGGCTGGAGAGGAAGGGGCAGCGGAACCGGCGGCAAACGAGTGAGAGAAACTGTGGAGAACGGCAAATAATGGGAATCAAGAATGGAGAATGAGGGGGAGGGGGGGGGGAGCTCGTCACTAAGTTGGGCCCGAGTACACCAAGCTTGTCAACAGAAGGCGCCGTCGCCTGCATCGCCCCTCCGTTATCGGCGGAGTAAACGCAGTTCTCCACTTTCCGCCCCCAACTTGACAACCGGGCGCGCGGCCGAGGAGAGACAGACAGACAGAAAAGGGGGGAGGGGGGAGGAGTGTGGCACTCGTTCTTACTGATTGCACTCTTCAATTATTTGAAATTACCGACCAATTGTAATACAATCAGTTTGAAACGGTAATGACCTTCTGTGGCAGGCGGGGATTCAAGGTGGAGAACCACAGCGCGTTCCACATCTACTTCGGCTCTACCAGCCAGTCGCTCATGAACAAGAGCGTGCGAATGGCGTGGCCAGATCTGCTCAGTAAGTGACCGACTCATGAACATCAACACATCTCCGTGTTATTCGTTTGTGTGTGTAAACACGTCGGTTATTCAAATTACCTCAAAAACGCACTCCAGGCAACGTCGGAGGCATCTGCGGCGTGTTCGTCGGCTTCAGCGCCATGAGCGTCATCGAATTCCTTTACTTCTTCACGCTACGGGTCTTCGTGGCGCTCAGCTCGCGCCGCCGCATGTCTCTGGGGCGCGCCGCGGTGGCCGGCAGCGTGGGCTTCCAGGGCTTCACGCCGGCGCCGCTCACGGGGCACAAGCCCGCCGCGGCGGCGCGCGCCGGCCCCCCGGCCCCCCGCTACCCCAAGGAGCTGCTCAGCGCCGGGGTCGTCCTAACCCCGACCACCGCGCCCGCCGACGGCGGCCACTTCAGCTGGGGGCGCTACTCGTTCCACTCGCAGCCGCAATCGCACCAGGCACAGCAGCATGGCCCGCGCAGATACTAGGAGCCTATTAGGCTTTATAAAGGCGACATTCCGACATTTTCGGGAACAAACAATAATGTTCGATCAGATTTGGGTGCCTAAGAAAAATTCCACTCATTCTATTCTGCAAATAAATAATGTAAGCAGTGGAGATCATTTCCTGTATACATTTGTATAACCCGGTGTAACCTGTCCAGTTAGTGTTGAGTGTAGATATGCGGAAATACCAACGAAATCCCAACGAATCCCCATTCGGAGGGTTTGCATTCTACAAACTGACTTTAGACGCAAAGAGCATAGAAATCAACAAAGCCCTTGAATCACCTTGAATCTTTCTCAGTTACACGATATTTAAAAGGCGTGATGAGTTACTAGTGTGCTAATAGTGAAACGAGTACAATCGTCATTCAAGATATAAAGTCAAACCCATCTTCGAACTGCGAAACGATATTTCGATGAGACATGCGGTTTGATAGCCTGTCGAGGCAAGTAGACGTCGATCCGAGACACTCTTTGTGCGGTTCAGCCAATAAGACCGAAGTCGTAAGTGACTGAAGGGGAATTGTGCAAAACTTCAACTCTCTGTGCTAAGTTGGAGCACTTGTTGGAGCTGAAAGAGCTAGTCGCCGAGGCGCAGGCAGGCGCAGGCCAAGGTGAAGCCAAGCAAAGTCACGCCGGGCTGGCCGCTATGCTCGAGGCAGCGACGCGGTGGCGACGCATGTTAGTTTTGGTGTACAATTGATAAATGTATTGTCTGCTAATAATATATGTGAACACAATTTGTAAACACCATCAGCCAAAAATGCACTTCATTCCACTAGTTGGTTTTGCTTTCGAAAATCAGTTGAGGGCTTGACGTGCGCCGCTCTCGACCAAAAGCGTGTCGACTAACCATATGATCTAAAAGAAGCGAGGCCAAGCCCCCCTACCGACAGCCCTATCCTGTGACAAGCACGCGGTGCGCCCAGCCAGCGACGGTCCGCCGGCTCCAGACGCTCTGACCTGACAGGTGAGGATATTGATGGCGGAGGGCGGCCGCGCCACGCGCGCAAACTTGTTGAACGGACTGTCTCGTCACGGCGCACCCCAC